CTGATGGCCAAAAATTATTATTTTACTAACTTAAGTTATTTTATTTTTGCAATTGATTTTTTTCTTTGAAAAGCACATTTTGGCTTTTTAATTTATGCAATGGTGAAAAAAAAAAAGGCAACATACATGGGGAAAAAAAACGTGTTCGGTATTCGGAATTCGGCCCAGTGTTTCATTTTGTTCGATTTCGGCTTCGGCCAAGAATTTTCATTTCGGTGCATCCCTAATATTCATTGACATTATATTCATAAAAGCATAATGATGATACCATGTATTACTAAATTATCATCATGGTAGTTTTTCATGACAGCGTAAGTACAGTAACATATATGAATTCAATATTATGATGGTAGTATTTATATCTGCAATATTTGTTAAAGGACAATTACAGTAGTAGTATTTATTACCACAACATTATGACGACAATTGTTCATCAATACTCAGAAAAGCACAATAACAGTAATATTTATGGCAGCATATATTACTGCAGTATTTGTGACAGCATAATAGCAATAGTATTTATTAGCATTTAATTACTACAATATTAAATGCAGCAGTAATAACCTTTATGCTGTTACACGTAATGATGATCTGTATGTCCAGAAGTGTCTGTGGTGTGTGTGTGATATCTGTGCATGCTAAACTGATTACGTGTGTTTATGACATTCTGTTTCAGAGTGTGTGTGTGCGTATGATTCATTTCCTCTCATTTACTGTATATTAGGGAAATGAACACACATCGGTCTGTGTGTGGATGCATGAGCGCATCCGTGTGCAAGCGCATACCTGTTATTGACGCTGTTCCACACCGTGTTGAGTTTGTCCATGACCTCTTTGACCTTGCGCGTGTCGTCAGCGGCATATTCCTGCAGAAGCTGATTGGACAGTTCATTAAAGGACGTCACGCTCTCCTGTCCTCGACTGAGCTCCTGCAGGAACGCCTGACAACAAAAAGAAATCAGTACATAAAGCTACCATCTAAACAGCATGACAAAAAGCGGGTGGAGTCGCTATAGAAGTCTAGATGTTGTTTGGTTCATATGTGTCCGTCGCTGCAGAGGGTAACTTTACCTCAAATTACTTCAGAGAATCACTGTCAACAACCTTAAAATCTTCATTTCTAACCAAGGCAAACACTAAAATATATGTTCATGCCTAAATATCTGCGAGTTTAAAACATTTTAATAATATATGAATACCAAACAATAAGGCAGTGAAATTATTATGACTCTAGCACCCCCTACAGGTGCGTTTCTGTAGTGTGTGTGCGTGTGTATCGTGTGTGTGTATCGTGTGTGTGTGTGTGTGTGTGTGTGTATCATGTATGTATGTGTGTGTGTGTGTGTGTCAATTCAAAAGCCATATTTACACCTGTGCTATTAAGTGCACGGTGACTCAGAAACGCTCTAAAGAAGAGTCTACAAGACGAATATGAAATCTCATTCATTCTTTATTTACCGCAATGTTTAATCTGACAATCATTTCTTCACTTAATTGATGAGAAGCCCTTATTTTTTTCTTACATATATTGTTATGTGGATTATATGTAGGATTTCAAACACTGTTAAAATTAAAGCAAAACACATGAATATTTAATTAATATTAGTGCAGTAATAATTAATAGTGGTAATACTTGTGAAAACATAAGTAAGGCATTTTTTTGTGTCAGAATTATGATGGTCACATTTATTGCTACACTATTACAGTATTATTACATTAGTATTCATTCACATGTATAGCTGCAAAATTCATGAATCTATAATTGTTCATATTTAATATAACTATATTATTATGGGAGTATTTATTAGCATTTATTTCTAAAATATTTGTACAAGCATAATGTTGTATTTAACAGCGCGATATTATTGCAGTAGTATTTGTTAGCATTGCAACAATATTTATGAAAGCAAAATTATAATAATATTTAATATCACAATATTATTATTGGAGAATTTATTAGCATTTATTTTAAAATATTTGTAAAAGCATAATCAAGGAAGTATTTAACAGCAAAAGTGTTACAGTAATATGTATTAGCATTTATTAAAATAATATTAATGAAAGCATAATTAAAATAGTATTTAATATTACAATATTGAAGTATTTATTAGCATCAAGGTAGCATTTAATCGAGCATAATAATTAAAATAGTATTTATTAGCATTTACTGAAATAATATATTACGAAAAGCATAATTATGGTAGCATTTATTACGTTATTATTATTATTATAGTATTTATTGCCATGATATTTGTGAGAGCATAATTATGATACTATTTGACTAAACTGTGCACAAAAGAGTCTGCAAGACTAATATGAAATCTCATTCATTCATGATTTAATGCAATGATTAATTTGGCAATCATTTCTTCAATTAATTGATGAGAAACTGATGAGAGCCCCCTTTTATATACTGTAATTTGGATTATATGTAGGATTTCAAACAAATGTAGCTAAATTTGATGTTCAAACTGCTCATTTTATTTCAATATGAATATATTAGTCACATTTTATTGCACTGTTTGTTGATGTGAATGCACGTTTTAAGTGTAACAACAGAAATACTTGCATGTCTACAACATGAAGAAAGCCAATCAATTTTTTTTCAAATGTTGTTGCCCTCCAATGAGTTCAAATGAAGGGGAAGTGACCCTAATAAGCCATTTTATTATATACATATATATATAAGATTGATGTTCAAACTGCTAATTTTATTTCAATATGAATATATTAGTCACATTTTATTGCACTCTGTTTGTTGATGTGAATGCACGTTTTAAGTGTAACAACAGAAATACTTGCATGTCTACAACATGAAGAAAGCCAATCAATTTTTTTTCAAATGTTGTTGCCCTCCAATGAGTTCAAATGAAGGGGAAGTGACCCTAATAAGCCATTTTATTATATACATATATATATAAGATTTAAAATATGAGATGCAGATATTTGTTACAGGGGTAAATTTAAGACTTTAAGACCTTTTCAAGACCATGCAAAGAACAGCTGTATTTTAGCAACACAAAGTTTGAAAATACAAACAGTGAACAAAAAATATCTTAAGGTTTGCTCTGTCTCCAATTGTAAACCAGAAAAATGCATCTTTCATTAGGAACAGCTCCATTGACTCTGTTTGTTTCTAACATGCCCACAAAGCTAAAAACACACCAAACCTCAGATAAAACCACATGTACTGAATTTACTGCGCTCAGAACTCATCCTTGAATTCATCAACTTATATTGCGTTCATGCTGAGAAAATAAATGAAAGTGACTACAAATGACTGGGGACGATAAGGCCTACAAATAAGAGAAGCTTGCTGCATTGACAGAGAAATATGGAGCTGACTGGAAAAACCTGAGATAAAGTGAAAGAGACTGTCTTTCTTTGAGAGATTGCAGACTTTTTTAAAGGAAGATATATGAACAGGTTACAGGGAGCATGATAAGACTAAACAAACATACAGATAAAAAGCTTAGACTGACCAGTTATGTCAAATAAATGTAGCATTGCACCACTTGCTCAGCAATGGATCCTCTGCAGTGAATGGGTGCCGTCAGAATGAGAGTCCAGAACAGCTTTTCACTTCACAAGTCGTTAACTGATGGACTGGAGTGGTGTGGATTACTTGTGGATTATTGTGATGTTTTTATCAGCTGTTTGGACTCTCATTCTGACGGCACCCATTCACTGCAGAGCATCCATTGCTGAGACACTGATGCAATGCTACATTTCTCCAAATCTCCAATGAAGAAACAAACCCATCTACATCTCGGATGACCTGAGGGTGAGTACATTTTCGGGAGAACTGTAGCTGAAGCTGTAATCCATTTGTCTGGTTTGATTGGCAGTTCTTTAATTAGGTTGAATGATTAATCAAACATGAATCACATCTGAAGTTTTATTTAATAAATATTAAGCTTTTCTATTGAAAAAAAGCATAGTGGGCTTAATTGGAACATGTACTTAGAAGCCACTCCAGACTTTTAATTAAATAAAGCAATTTAATGTTGTCACTTCCTGACAAAACCACATCTGAAGTTTTATTTAATAAATATGAAGCTTTTCTATTGAAAAAAAGCATAGTGGGCTTAATTGGAACGTACTTAGAAGCCACTCCAGACTTTTAATTAAATAAAGCAATTTAATGTTGTCACTTCCTGACAAAACATACCATGAGTGTTTACTCTTCACTTTAATAGCCACTTTAGTGAAAGCCTGTTCAAATAACTATAAGAAAACATGTACAGATAAGATTCAGATGATCTTAATAGGGTCACTTCTGATGTTAATTAAATGAAAAAAAGTGCCACAAAAAAGCCTGATGGATTTCTCCTGTTCGCTCAACTACAAATCACACTGATCCAGATCCCAGTATCATCATATAAATCGAAAACATGATTTCTTTGTTTGAAAGTGCATGTGTCTGGAGCTGAGACCAAGTTTTGACACTCACGAATGGTCTTATTTTAAACTGGAAGAGGAGCAAAATGATGGCAAATCTTTACGGTAACACAGGTCAAAGGTGAAAATTAAAGATCTCACCTTGTTGTCACTGATCTGTTTAGTGAGCGGCCCTCGGCTCAGCTGCAGAAGGTTATGCAGATGCATCTCATTTTGTCCAATCAGAGCCTTCACCTGGTGCCTCTGCTCCTCCCATTGTTCGCTGTGGCCGATCATGCATTCCAGCTGCAGAAGCCGCGCCTCCACGCCGTGCTGTGTGCCGTCCCATTGGCTGCGGACCTTCTCCACTGACACACAGCAGGAAGAGAGGAATGAGTCTCACTATCTCACACAACAGATGCTCCACACGCTTCTTCATTAATACACGAGTATAAAACCGTCTGAGGTGTTATTCATCAGAACCACCAATTGAGCTCACTTCTTTTGCTTTATTTATTTTTATATAACAATAGCCAATTTGTCAAAGCTTTCTGTACTTCCTGACAAAAAAAAAAAACAATTACAAGGATAGGATTACAATTATGACTAAGATAATGATTAAAAATGATTAAGAATCACAAGAAAGACTAAGATTAAGACTAAAACAAAGATCAAAGATTAGAGCTAAGGCTAAGATTAAAACAAAGGCAAAGCGAAACCAACACCGAGACTCAGATTAAGAAAAGGCTAAAACTGAGATTAAAATCAAGAGTAAGATTAAAACAAACACTAAGATTATGATTTAATATTGAACACTAAAATTACAATTAAAACAAGACTAAGATTATGATTTTAAAAACATTTGATTAACAATAACAAGACAGAAACTGAGATTAAGATAGACTAAGATTAAAAATTAGACAAAGACTAAAACCAATGCAAAGCCAAATGTACACTGAAATCGAGTTTAAGATGAAGGTTAAGAATAAAACTAAGATTAAAATTAAGACAAAGATTAAGACAGAATAAGATCATACATGATTGGGAATCACACAAGAGAAAGCCTGAGTTTATAATAAAGACTAAGATTAAGATAGAAACAACAAGGTCTAAGGCAAAAACTAAGACCAAGGCAAAGTAAAGCTGACACTGAGACTGAAATTAAGATAAAGGTTAAAACTAAGATTAAGGTTAACATAAAAACATGACTTAATATATGATTTAATATTGAATACTAAGATTGAAATAAAGACTTCAATTTTTAAAATATGTCATAATAAAAAAAAAAAGAACTGAGATTAATATAAAGGCTAAGATTAAGACAGAGTAAGATCTATATCTGTCTTTCTATCTATCAATATCTAATATCTATAGACGTTAGAATGATAGACAGACAGAGAGATAGATAGATAGATAGATAGATAGATAGATAGATAGATAGATAGATAGATAGATAGATAGATAGATAGATAGATAGATAGATAGATAGATAGATAGATAGATAGATAGATAGATAGATAGATAGATAGATAGATAGATAGATAGATAGATAGATAGATAGATAGATAGATAGATAGATAGATAGATAGATAGATAGATAGATAGATAGATAGATAGATAGATAGATAGATAGATAGATAGATAGATAGATAGATAGATAGATAGATAGATAGATAGATAGATAGATAGATAGATAGATAGATAGATAGATAGATAGATAGATAGATAGATAGATAGATAGATAGATAGATAGATAGATAGATAGATAGATAGATAGATAGATAGATAGATAGATAGATAGATAGATAGATAGATAGATAGATAGATAGATAGATAGATAGATAGATAGATAGATAGATAGATAGATAGATAGATAGATAGATAGATAGATAGATAGATAGATAGATAGATAGATAGATAGATAGATAGATAGATAGATAGATAGATAGATAGATAGATAGATAGATAGATAGATAGATAGATAGATAGATAGATAGATAGATAGATAGATAGATAGATAGATAGATAGATAGATAGATAGATAGATAGATAGATAGATAGATAGATAGATAGATAGATAGATAGATAGATAGATAGATAGATAGATAGATAGATAGATAGATAGATAGATAGATAGATAGATAGATAGATAGATAGATAGATAGATAGATAGATAGATAGATAGATAGATAGATAGATAGATAGATAGATAGATAGATAGATAGATAGATAGATAGATAGATAGATAGATAGATAGATAGATAGATAGATAGATAGATAGATAGATAGATAGATAGATAGATAGATAGATAGATAGATAGATAGATAGATAGATAGATAGATAGATAGATAGATAGATAGATAGATAGATAGATAGATAGATAGATAGATAGATAGATAGATAGATAGATAGATAGATAGATAGATAGATAGATAGATAGATAGATAGATAGATAGATAGATAGATAGATAGATAGATAGATAGATAGATAGATAGACAGATACATAGATAGATAGATAGATAGATCAAAAGCAAGACTAAGATTAAGAAGACAAGATTAAGACAGGTTAATACTGAAACCAAGATTCAGACTAAGGCGGAGATAAAGAAGATGATGATGAGTATATGCTCACGTTTCTCTGAGATGGAGGTGCGCACGTCGAGGTTGGAGGTTTTGTTCTTGATGTTTTGAGCCAGAGTGATGATGTCTTCCAGCTGTGGATGTCTCTGCTCTAGATCACCTTTAGTCACCTACAAACAACCACAACACAGGGCTTTAAACATGACCAGGGTTTAGCGGTCTGAATAATAATTCTGTGTAGACAGAAACTCAGCCATAAATCACTGCTTTTATCTTCTATTTAAGGAAAGATCTACTAGCTATTTGCCAGCCTATCAAGCCAAACGTCTTCAAACTGAAGACAAACCCCCTCTCAGGTCTAATTCTGCTGTCTGACCTGCAGGCGGCCGATGGTGGTGTGGATCTCCTCTTTGTCTCCCACTGTGACGATGTTGGATTTGAGCATCTGGTGGATGAGGAGCAGCCAGTCCGCCAGCTCTGTGGCCGTCTGGTGCAGGTCGCTGGGGCCCACCAGCTCTGGGCTGGGACGCCGCTCCTCGCTCATCAGACTGACCATGTGCACCGCAGACGGCACGCTCCCTGACACACACACACAATCCACAGTAAACACTCGATTACATCTGGAAGACCAGCGCGAGTGTCCAATTTACCTGTGTGTGCTGCACTCACCTGTGAACTGCTGCTGAGCCACTTGTTGTGTCCATGGAGACAGAGGCTGTTGTGGCGTCTCCTTCAGTCTGGCATCCAGAGCTTTCCAATCTGCAGCCAGCTGTTCGATTTTACTCTACACAAACACACATACATCCACTTCATTCTCATTCATCTCTGCACTTTACAAGCAAAACCACAACAAGAATGGAGCTAGTGCTGCATGACAATTTGTCTACTTCCAGTGTTGTTAAACAGTTCACTGTTGATTGGAAAGTACACACTTTTTGAGCGTGTCGGAAGAGTATTGAGACAATCTACCACATCCTAAAACTGTATAGTGTTACGGTCTGTTCACACCAAGATGAGTATCTGGTGCAAATATTTGGTGCTGTAAATATTTCAATTTGAACACTAATGCAAACATCTGCATTGTCAATGCAACAAGAGGTTTTTTTTTTTTTTGTATGGATTGTTTTAATCTCTTTTCCATTGCACTGTGAAGAAAGCTGGCCAACCGGTAAGATTTGCGTTTTTGATCCCATGCCTAGAACCACTGCTTTAAAATAAAACCGACGCTCATCAGTGAATAACAGAAGTGAATCTGTACTCCTGCATTTGGTGTTGTTTGATGAACACCATTAAAAATGCAAATATCTGAAAAGTAATTATTGTTACAGCAAATAGTGTAAATTCTGTTTGACTTCACAACTTTTATTATGCATTGCATGAACAGAAAAAATGCATACGAAAAACACTTGTGCTGGTGTAAGCTAGGGTTATTAGTTCAACTAAAATGATCAAAAAACACTTGTAGTTGAAATAAATGTTAACTGAAATGAATGAATTTATTTCAGCTAGTTTCCAAAGCAACATGTAAAACACCTAAAACTAAATAAAATAAAACTAATTCATATCACTAACTACATAATTAATAATTATTTACTAAAACAACCAAATAATTAATAATTTCAACTAAAATTTATAAAAACTACAAACTATATAGAAAAACTAATAATAAAAAAAATGACTGCAGCTAAAATGAAAGTAAAACGTATAAAAATAGAAAATATAATAAAGTCTAATTCAAAATAATAAATATATAAAACTATCAATGATATCAAAATAACTCTGGTGTGAACAGGGCTTTAGCATTAAGCTCAACTGATTTAGGGTAAAATTCATCACATTTCATAAATTAAAAACTGCTTTGGCATCGCACTATTAATGATAAAAGTAAGTGAATTGAAGCGCAGCACATACTGTAGTGTTTTTTGTGTTGTTTTTTTTGCTGGGTGACACAAACCTTTTCCTGTGGTAAAAGCAGCTGTTTCCTCTGGAGCTCAATAGAGTAAGACAACAGCTCCTCCAGCTCCCGCTTCTGCTCTCGCATGGACATTTCCAGAACCTGCACAAACATATGTCCGTCAGATCTCAGTCAAACTCTGATGATCATTTGTTTTCATTGGGATGAACTAGACCAACACATAAAAGACTAAACAACTTACAGACAGAGCTGGGTACTAACTGCTTACATGCAATCTGGATTACATAATCAGATTTCAAATCTCCAAAAATTACATTTTATAATGCTCATAATCAGATTACAGTTACTTTTTTATAGATTACATGATTGCATTACCCACAGTATTATATTATATTATATTACATTATGGCAGTAAATCATTGATAATTTATTGATTCTCCCTAATTCTTCTTTTAAATGGATTCCCAAATGTGTGTCAGCCAAAACCAATTTGACATGAAATATTTTCTTGAAATATCTCTGAGGAAGTTAATATTTCAATAATTTAACAACACATCCGGTCAGACTGACATGCAGGTAAACAAATTAAATATTTCCATTTTTAGTGTTTAATTAATGATTAGCTTTTTATCAACTCACAAACCCACTGCAGTTCTTACATTAAGCCCAAATTTGGGAAATTAATGTAATGTTTAATGCATTTTATGATGTTGATATTAAAGAAGAAAAAAAATGTTTTTTATTTTTTGCTTTGCTTCTTTATTTCAACATGGTACATTCAATGGTACGTAAAAAAAAAAAAAAAAATAATAATAAGCCTGTGGTTTGGCATGCACTCCCCTCACCATGGTGGCGTGCGTATACCATTCCCCATAGCGACCCCTAGAGGACGCAGTTTGAAGTTCCCTTGAAAGGGAACGTCTCAGGTTACGTATGTAACCATGGTTCCCTGAGTAGGGAACGAGACACTGCATCCTCTAGTTTCCTTGCCATGCTTCGGACGCAAGCTTCAGACGAAGAAGCAGATGACATGTTCTCCCAGTAGGGATGTGTATCACCAGCAAAGTCACGATACAATACGTATCACGATGCAGAGGCAACGATACGATACATATCACGGTATGTGACTGCATTGAATTTCACCTCAGAAGAGTTTAGTAAAACAGCTGTTTAGTTATATTGTAATGTACTCATTCTAATATATTAAAAAATCAGATTTACATTGCTGGTAGGTTATCATTGCACAAATTAACACACTCTCTACGTTTAAAAAACAAAAAATTAGAAGAGTTCTAAACTAATGCGCTGCCTTAAAGTGGAGATTGCTAAACTGCAAGCTAACCAGTGTTTTCAGAAAGCAAGCACTTTTATCCACAGTGGAGAGAGAGCGCGTACACAAGGTTGCCAGGTTGACAAAGATAAGTAGCACACTTAGCAGATATTTCCGTATTGCGCAAGTGTAAAGCTCTGTTTTGGGGATTACGTCTCTTTATATCAGGCAACCCCGGTTGTGTTCCTCTGCGGCCAGATTAAACCTTGTTGTAGCCTATATATTATGCTCTATTCATTATTTTTTAGAAACCTTGCACTTTTCTACTCCGTTTTAAACGTTGTTCTTGTATACAAATTAAGCGCGGTCCACTGTTGCACACGTGCCACAATATCGATACAGGGACAGCTGTATCGATACTCGTATCGTCAAATCTCTGTGACGATACATCGTCATATCGATGTATCGAACACAGCACTATCTCCCAGCGCCTATTTATACTGTGGTCGCACCGGTAGTGACGTCATGGCTGTCGCCGGCCAACGTGTTGTTGTTGTTTTGAATGTATGCTTCAGGTCACGTTGAGGCGTTCCCCATAGCGACCCCTAGAGGATGCAGTGTCTCGTTCCCTACTCAGGGAACCATGGTTACATAAGTAACCTGAGACGATTACAATAATTTAACAACACATTCGGTCACAATGGCATGCAGGAAAACAAATTCAATATTTCCATTTTTAGTGTTTAATTAATGATTAGCTTTTTATCAACTCGCAAACCCACTGCAGTTCTTACATTAAGCCCAGTTTGGGAAATTAACGTAATGTTTAATGCATTTTATGATGTTGATATTAAAGAAGAAAATTTTTTTTTTGTTTTGTTTTTGCTTTGCTTCTTTATTTCAACCTATTACATTCAATGGTACGTTTAAAAAAAACAAACAATAATAATCTAAAAAGTAGTCAGAATACATTGCCTAATACAAGTAACCTAGATTACGTTACTAACTACAGTTTTTATCATGTAATCTGAAATCAGTAATGGATTCTGCTCACAGACCCCCAGAAATGACATTTTTGTAATTATATAATCAATCTCAGTGCATTTCAAAACATCACACTTAACACTTTCTTTCTTCTATGGAAGACAAAAAGAAGATATTTTGACAAATGTCTCAGTGTTTTTCCACACAATGAAAGTAAATGGTCACCAAAACTGCTTGGTTACCCATATTCCTTACTTAATATCTTTTGTGTTCCACAGAAGAAAGTTATTCAGGTTTGGAACGACATGAATTTGCGCTGATGAACTGTTTGAGATGGAGGGTGTTGCGTGTGAGCGTCTGACCTGTCTCTCCGCGGGTGTGACGTCACTCAGAGACTGGCTGCTGATGTAAACCCAGTCGCCCAGTCTGCTCATGCGCTCCTGGAACTGGCTGTAAGACGCCAGCCTCCTCTCGTCCTGCAGCGGTGTGTGTGTCTGCAGACGACCCTCCACCTCACGCACCTTATCCAGCAGCTCGCGGCTCACCTTCAAACACACACACACACACACACACGTTTGTCATTCGCATGATGCTGCAGAGACCGAGCGCTATATGAGCCAGCAGATTCATCAGCACATACATATAAGGCCACAGCATTAGCCCGCTTGGTTGATTACCAGAAGTGTGTCAGGTCCAGATTTACAATATATTTTCAGTGAAAACTGTGTGAAATCATTTTATCGTGAAAACGCAGCAGGGTTAATGTATTTCTGTAGGTCAAAACCCAGAAACGAGTTGTATTTTAGCACTTCTGCTTCTATTGTCATGAAGTCAATGGGTTTTTTTAATGGCTTTTTGCGTGAATGACTGAAGTAAGGTCTGTGGTGAACACAAGCTCAAGATATTATCACGCTTTTACTTTTATTTTTTAAGCTTTCACTCGTCTTGACACTCACAAAAAAGATATAAAAGCAGACAGACAGAGAGAGAGATTTTGTTGTGATTGTGTGCTATAGAGTTGTTTCCGTACTTTACTCCAGCTGAGGTTTATCTGCCTTATTTTATTCACGTGAGTGTCTCTGTCCTGAGGACTCAGACTGGAGTTTGACAAGATCTGAGAGCCGGTTTTATTCAGCCATGACAGCGTCTCATTCTGACCATCCATCTCCTCCGTCAAGGCCTGAGAGAAAGAGACAGAGACAGAGTGTTAAAGCAGACATTCTGATGCACTAGCAGCTGTTTTTGGAGTAATCAATTAAAATGCTTTATAATTAAACTAACTTTTTCATTTATTTATTATTTATATTTGTATTTTTTGAGCTTTTAAACTAGGGGTGTTTTAGTGTTAATAGTTGTATTTAGAGTAAATTTACACTAGCTACAAAAATATGTAGTCTTTTTTTTTTTTTTAAGAAAACAAAAGGACACATGTAATGTAATAAGATACTAAGAATGTTTCTTGAGTATCAAATCAGCGTATTAAAATTATTTCCGAATGATCATGTGACACTGAAGACTAGAGACTAAAAGACAAGACAGATTAAAAAAAAATCTTACCAATCCCAAACTTCTCAGTGGGAAATATATGTGTGTGAGTGTATACATAAATATATGTGTTTTGATGTTTTCACTAACTAATGTCTACTAAAAAAATACAAAAATAAATAAATACAAATAAAAAATAAATATATATATATATATATAACAACAATAATAATAATTGTTATAATGTACACTAAAACTAAAATTAAATAAAAAAAAAAAGTTCAAATATTTCAAAACTTTTTTTTTAAGTTTCTCTGGCTTCTTTAACTAAAAACAGAAAATAAAGCACATAAAAACAAAATAAACATGTCCATGATATAAAAAGCAAAATAATAAGCCACTGCTGAAACTAACTAAAACTAAACTTTGAAACTAAAATTTGAAAGTAGCATTACAATAAATTTAGCAATGCAAAATTATAGAAAACATTGTAAAAACTAAAATAATATTAATAATAAATGAACAATATAAAATAATGGCTACATACTTTTTTTTAAGGTCTTCGTGAATAGCATCTATGTAGTTAGTTGATGATGCAGGTGAGTGTGTGTGTTCGTGTCTGTCTGTATGCGTGCGTGCGTGTGTGTGTGTGTGTGTGTGTTTGTGTGTGTGTTCTGTGTGTGTGTGTGTGTGTGTGTGTCTGTGTGTGTGTGTCTGTGTGTCGAACCTTGAGCTCTCTGAGGCTCTTGTCGGTGGCTGAAACCGACAGCGTCGCCACGGCAACCTCCGTGTGCTGCAGCCACTGAGCCAGATCAGCAGTCCTCTGAACGACATCCATCACAGCCGGATCCTCACCCATCAACCTGCACAAACAGCATTTAGCACAAACACACACACACTGATCTGTGAGTCTGTGTGTGTGTGCTGTGCTCAGGCTCACCTGCACTGGCGCTCACACACTTGTCTCTGCACGCATGTCCAGCGGCGTCTCAGAGCGTCCAGTTTCTCCTGCAGCAGAGCGGCGTCGGGTGACGACACCTGACCGATGATGTGCTCTCCAGACCGGCTCAGAACCGCCACCACAGACTGATGAGAGGCCAGACCCTCCTCCAGATCCTACACACACACACATGAGGCACTGGGTTAATGGATGGTTGACCTGTGAGTGTGTCTAACTGATAAACAGGAAGTTGCCACTGCTCTCCATATATATGAGGGCAAGAAATGCGCCTGACCTTAATTTGTGTCTGAGGACAATTTCACATTCAACTCGCCCTCTTTCAGCACTTTCAGACCCAGAAAGACATTGCACACACACACGTTTTCCCCAAAGCTCTCCCTGACTGTGAAACACACTTAACAGTGCATGAGTCTAATGAGCAAATGTCCTTGTTTGAGTTTTCAGTCTGTTCACTGCAGAGGAAGAGGCCACTGTGACTCTTCAAAACACTCATGTACACATCAGTCTAACAAACACTGGCAGTTTATTTTGCTTGCATGAAATCATTTTTCTTTCATATATTTAATTGTGAGTTAGAAGTGCTTAATTATCATATAATTAACAATTAGCATCTCGCAGCATGAAGACTGATCTCAATTAATTAACATTGACCTCCCTCTATATTTATGTTCTGTGATTTTTTCTGCCTTTTCCGTTCAGAGAATGACATTTTGTTGACATTTACATTGGCACTAATGCATGTGGAAGATGCTTTTATTTAAACTGACTGAATTGTATTCCAGCTACAGATGTTATGGGAACTGAACCCATGAACGTGTACCTGTAAGCGCAAAAATAACGTGCAAAGAAGCAAATGAACGTTAAAAAGAAAATGTATTGTAAATGACCCTTGCTGATGGTAAATGCATTCTATCTATCCTTCTAACTATCTGTCAAACAAAAAATCTGTCATGTTTGCATATCCACTGACAAATTGTACCATAGTGGAAATGTTTCCATCAGAAGCTTATCACAGATTCATAAAATTCATTGAAGGGATTCATATATAATATGTTTATAATATATACATGCACTTACTATTGTTCAAAAGTGTTTGAAAGAAGTCTTTTGTGGTCACCAAGACTCCATTTATTTGATCAAAAAATACACAGTAAAACACATTAATATCGTGAAATATTATTATAACTTACAATAACTGTTTTCTATGTGAATATATATTCAAATGTAATTTATTTCTGTGATCAGAGCTGTATTTTCAGCATCATTACTCCAGTCTTCAGTGTCACATGATCTTCAGAAATCATTCTAATATGCTGATTTGCTGCTACTTCATTTTTTTTTTCCTTAAGGACATTTTTTTTTTTGATAACTAGAAATCTTTACAGTCAATTTTGATCAATTAAATTTGATTAAAAAAAAAAAAATCTTAAAAAAAACAAATGTCACTGAAAAAAAAAAAAGAGTATATAATTTTATGAATATTCATGTATTTTTTTATTTAAAGTTTATATTTAATTTGTATATTTATATTTATTTATACTTAGTATAACTGTTACACTTCTTAAACATTATTAAAATGTTTAAATGCAAAATGCTTCCAACTTCTTCACTGGGATTTTAACCTCTTAAACTGTTATGTCAATAGATCATAACAGGTCATAACAGAATGGATCTGTGACCTTTGACTCTGCGTCTGACCTGTTGCTGTGTACGAGCGCAGTCCAGGTCCAGTTCTCCGTCTGATCCGATCCCGTCAGCCAGGACCTGTTCAGTGTGGCTCAGCCACTGCGAGAGATCGTTCATGTCACAGTGAAACTGCCTCCACTCCTCCACAGCTCCATCGAAACACCTGCACACACACACACACACACACACACAGACAGACACACAGACACAGACAGACACACACACACACACAGACACACACACAGACAGACACACACAGACACAAACACACACACAGACGCACACAGACACATACAAACACACACACACAAACAGACACAAACACAGACGCACACACAGACACAAACACACACACACACACACACACACAGATGCACACACAGACAGACACACACACACACACACACACACAAACACAGAATACCTATGTCATACCTTTGTCATTATACAAATTTATGTCCTCATTTGTCACAAAAACGCGCACACACACACACACACACCAGGAAACATGCTCATCTAAGTGGTGATATCCTCACATCACATGCATTTCTTCAATTAAACAGAAAACAGCACTGTGTGTTTCGAATCGTTTATCTCATTTTATGCTTATCTCAAGCAAGTGTGGCATGTTTGCACAAGAGATGTATTGATAATACTCGCCAGTAAATCTGTCAGACAGAGAGCGCCCTCAAGCACTCAGTATCAGCACCATAAATTCATTTTCCTGGGTGTACGAACACAAACGGCTGGTCGAGCTGACGTTACATTCATCAGAAGATCACATCTGAATGATTCACTCACAGAGATTGTCTGACAGATCACTGTGTGCAATAAAGCATGTATGAGCTAAAACCGCAGTATGTTCATGTTAACCTCGAGCGCTGAAATAACCAGTTATAACGAGTTTTAACGAAAAACCAAAATTAAAATGATTAAAAACTGATTTCATTAATTGAAATAAAGTTGAAATAAAACAGAAATAGAAATATTAGATAAAAACATTTTATTCCAGTTAAATTTAAGTTGAAGTACTAATATTCTTAAAACTAAAAGTGTAATACAAATTAAATCTAGGCTATATGGAAATATTAAAAAAACTAATAAAAATAAAGTAACATTAAAATCAATACTGAAAATATAAAAATAAATACTAATTCAAAAATATCAATAATACCATAATAGGCTGATTAACTAAAAACTGGTCTTTGCAAACTACTAAACCAGCAAGAACCTACTGTTTCCTATGAAACCAGCTAAACTAATAACCTTCTTCATTGGAAATACTGTTCTGACTGACTGACTTTACTGGTGATCAACTGTTAAACTGGTGCTCCAGTTAGTCCAGAATAATTCAGCCAGGATCAGTTTTTGGAAAAGCACTTCCTCATGTCAGCGGGTGTCCATGAAACTGGCCGAGTAACTGGGTCACATTTCTGTTTAACGGTGTGGAAAACTTCCTGTGTGACTGACTTCTGACAGATGAAGTCCTGCTCACCTCGGAGAAGAACCTGCCTCTTAAATCATTAACTTTGAGTTTTAAAGTCAATCTCAAGAAAATATGTCTAGGTCACGTTTCAACCCAAAAACCAAAGGAAATACAGGATCAGATATTTTGCATAAAGAAAATGAAACCTATTCAGGCCTGTTCTTGCGGCATGACATTATATTCATGACAATCATTCAGAGTTTCCAGTAAATACTTCAAGTTACTGTGTTATTACTGTGTGGAATTATCATTATTCTCAAAAATGATTCCATTAGATTATCCTGTCCAGAGGGGAAAAAAGAAAGTAAAACATAATAAATAATAGATTTTTTGTAGCGTTATTTTAGCATTATTTGTATACTATTATATTTTGTATTAATATTTTGAGTTTTATTTTTAGATTTCAGTTTTTATTTTAATGTAATTTTTTTAACAATGTTGTAATGTGTCCGTCTTTTTTATTTCACTTTTTTTTTTACTTATTTCAGTTAGTTGCCAACACTAAACAAGTGCTCTTAATAAAAAAAAAAAACGAAAAAAAAAAAAACAATTTTTCATCTTGTAATTTTCTGTGAAATATGGCATGTTCTTCACAGGTTTTGTGTGATGTGATGTTTATTTACTTCCCGAGCTTATTCTTCAACATTAAAAAGACATTGATAACTGTGATGTAATCATCATTATACTTAAAAGCAATGCCTGAGCCAACTCTTTTTTAACTAATTAGCATTGATGGTATTATTCATCTTTGCTTTAAAAAAATGTCTATTAGAGTGTGTGGTGCTTCTTTAAATCAGATGCACTCTGCACCAGAATTAATGAAGGTTTCAGTAGTGAGATATTGGTTTCTCTCACATCCTCATGCATTTATAATATCCAGGGATTTGACACATTTCTCTATGGACCAATCATCAGCACATATTCCTAGACTCAGAGCCATAGCCTCAGTAGATATTGAGGGGGCATATCCTCCCTCCCTCCAGCAAAGATTAGGCGCTGACTGTTATGGTTTTTTTTTTCCCAAATTATTACATTTGCCACCTCAATCCTGAATGCATGGACACGTCCTTCCCTGGACTCCTCCATTAGCATGTTATGAATGGGCAAAATAACATTAGCAAATCTACCTCCGATAAGGAGAAAATTAGGAAATATATGCTGAAATGCTAACTTTTCCTAACCCACTTCAACCAACGCTCACACACATCCAACCTTCCTCGCAACTAGAGACGTAATAGAGTTCAAAATTACAATCTCTCTAACCGTATTCATCATTGGTTTCATGCAATAACTACTATCATGTCCAACAAATTAAATACAAACGTTTTTTCAGGTTCACTTTGTGATTGTGGGCCATAATGGGGAGATCTAGACAGGGAATTATGGGGAATTCCAGACTCACCCTTTCCTCTGGCTGTACATGCGGTTGACTCTGTCCCACTCTGAGTTCAGCTGTGTCAGGCCATCAGATATCTGTGCCATCTCCTGTCTGGAAGCTTCCAGAATCACATCAGGCTGGCGCTCATTGATCACTTCAACCTGTTCACCCAACCGCTCCAAACTCTCCTTTATATTCTAGAAACAGAGACACAGAGAAGTCAATGCCAAACAGAACAACTGAAAACACCCATTGCTCCAGTCAGTTTAGCCTCTATAGCAGACTGCTGGTGAACAGGAAGTTATTATGGTCAACAGTGTTGCTTATACTTTAAGAGTAGACTGTAGCTTGGCAAGCTAGTTTGTGCAAGTAGTTTTCCCAACACTTGTACCAGAATACTGATATTTGGACCTCTTGAACCCTGTAATGAAGGAAACCACTGTGTCTAAGCAAATCACTGAAGTGTGTGGCTGACCCGGAGCGTGTCCTCCTGGCTGGAGAAATCCTCAAACAGTCCTCCGCTGAGCTCTGAGGAGTTCAGGAGCAGCTCGTTGTCGGCCATGGCCAGCAGAACCTTATTAATGTCCAGCAGATAGTCAGACGGGGAGACAGATGCGCTCCTCTCATCCTGGGGAGAGAGGGATGACTCTGATCTCTGCCGAGGAGGAGAAGATGATTCGAGCACAACTGGCTGAGTTCTGATGGTATGAATCTCCTGCAGAGAGACAGAGAGAGAGAATATAGTGAATGGAAGAATGTAACGTGTGATATGGTGCTTTCAGACATTCAGCATTTGTTTACAATGCAATAGTAAACAAGATCTGGTGTGGGAACACCAGCAAATCAAATCGCTGTCAATAAAAAAAATGTAACACAGCTATAAAAACAAGGTGTTAAAAGATGTAACGCGACCATAAATAGCCATAACACAGCCTCGAGCATTTCTGTAACATAGACATAACAGTCAACACATAGCTGTAACCATATGTGTAAAATAGCCACAACACAACTGTAAACATCCATCATTAATGTAACACGGCTGTAACAAAGCTTTAACATATCCATTAACAATGCTGTAACACAGCCTTAACGAAACCAATAATCATAGCTGTAAAAATAGCCATAGCATAACTGTAAAGCCATAATAGCAAAAAACAATGCTGTAACAAAGTCGTAACAGCTGTAAATACTATTGTAACACAGCTGTAACGCAGCTGTAAACATAACTTCAACTTAGCCATAACATGGCTGTAAACATATCCATAACACATCCAGCCTTATCAGCTTTAACACTGCTGTAACATAGCCATAACAGAGTCAAAACTGGTTAAACACAGCCGTAGCTGTAACTTAGCCATAACACAATAGTAAAATAGACAATCCCTGCTGTAACAGCTATAAACACAGCTGGAACAAAGCCATAATACAGCTGTAAACAATGCTGTAACATAGACTGAACACAGCTGTAAATGTAGCTGTAAAATACCCATAACATAGTCATAACATTGCCATAACAGCCACAAACAAAGACGGAACAAGGCTGAAACACTGTTGTGTTTCACAGATGCAACGCAGGCAAAACTTTAACACAGCCGTAAAAATAACTTCAGCTTACCCATAACACAGCTATAAACACAGCCATTATAATTCCTGTAACACATCCATAAACACAGCTGTAACAAAGCTGTAACCACTATAAACACTGTTGTAACAGTAGTAATGCAGCCAAAACATGACTTTAACACGCCTGTAAATGTAGCTGTAAAATAGCCATAATACAACCGCAAACATAGCCACAATCATTGTTTTAACAGCTGTAAACATAGCCAAAACAAAGCCGTAACACAGCCATAAAGAATGCTGTAAGAAAGGCTTAGCTGTAAATGCTGTTGTAACAGTGTCACAGTCAAAACACATATTTTAACACGGCCATAAATGTATCTGTAAAACAGCCATAGAGCTGTAAAAATAGACATAATCATTGATGTAATGGCTATAAACACAGCTGTAACAAAGCCGTCATACAGTTGTAAACAATGTTCTAACGCAGCCTAAACACAGTCAAAACAAAGCTGAAACACTGTTGTAACAGACACAATGCAGGCAAAACATTGCTTTAACACAGCTGTAAAAACATAGCTTTAATACAGCCATAACATAGTTATAATCACGACTGCAGCATAGTTATAATACCCATAATCACAGCTGTAACACTGCCATAATACCATTAAAAAAAAAATCTGTAACAGCTGTAAAGTATCCATCATTTTGAACATGCACAAGGCTGTTCTGATGCTATAAGACTTGTCCAAGAGTGGAACCAAATGCAAGGTTCTGGCATCAGGTTTCTACTTACAGTATAGACATACATCACATTATAAGCAACTGCACGTGTAAACGCTGTGTACATAAACACTGTGGACACTCAACTCCAACTAAATTGCAGCCCTGCAGCTTTTCAAATAGTAGCAGCCTAATATTTCTGAAAGAACATTTGGGTTTTAGAATTTAAAGAGAGTTTTGGTGATATGTATAATAAACAGTAATCTGTCGCCAGGAAAGTTAATACTGCAATTTAACGGGTTTCATGTGTGAAAGTGGCTTGAAATTCAGAGCCGGCGTTACGTGGCTGACATGTTAAGAGTGCATGAAATGACCTTGTAGCATGTCTGGAGCAGCAGCAGTCTCCTGCGGATGTCCTCTCTTCTGTCCTCGTCAGGAACAGACCGCAGCACCTCCTCTCCTCTCCTCAGCACCTCCTCAACATGAGCTTTCTCCTCATCCAACTAAAACACAAACACACTAATTCAGGACAAACACATGACGGTTTTATATGGCTGGGTATGTAGACATCTGGTGTTATAGGTGCAACACCTCATAGTTTATGTTTAAAGGAATAGTTTGACCAAAAATGAACATTTGCTGAGAATTTAATCACCCTCAGGCCATCCAAAATTAGTTTGTTTCTTCATGGGAACAGATTTGGAGAAATGTAGCATTGCATCACTTGCTCAGCAATGGATGCTCTGCAGTGAATGGGTGCCGTCAGAATGAGAGTCCAAACAGCTGATAAAAACATCACAATAATCCACAAGTAATCCACACCACTCCAGTCCATCTGTTAATGACTTGTGAAGTGAAAAACTGTGTGTTAATAAGAAACAAATCCACCATTAAGACATTTTTAACTTTAACTTCTGGCCGAAATACAAGTCCATAATCCATAATAACACTTCCTCCAGTGAAAAGTCCATCCCCTGTTGTCTTTACATCAAAATCCAACACACATTTGTTCAGATCTGTTTTGGGCTGTTTTCACTCATAAAAAACGGTGCTTGATATGTGCAGATTTCTCTCCTGATTCAGACGAGCTGACTTTTTCATTGGAGGACGTGTTATTAAGAATGGAGGACTTATATTGTAGCCAAAAGCAATGGTTTGAAGTTAAAAACGTCTTGATGGATTTGTTTCTTACAAATACACAGCTTTTGGCTTCTCCAGATGTTAACTGATGGTCTGGAGTGGTGTGGATTACTTGTGGATTATTGTGATGTTTTTATCAGCTGTTTGGACTCTCATTCTGACGGCACCCATTCACTGCAGAGCATCCATTGCTGAGACACTGATGCAATGCTACATTTCTCCAAATCTGATGAAGAAAAACTCATCTACATCTTAGCTGGCCTGAGGGAGAGAAAATTTCATTTTTGGGTGAACTATTCCTTTAAAATACAGATATGTGAGTGGAGCTACAAAAAGTTATGTCATCTCACTTTGTTACAGGTCAAATCAGGTGTGTGTATATGATGTGTGTTAGTTGACGCTAATTAGTTAATGTGTGTACCCTCTCATCATCAGGTGTGTGTGTTTTCTCCTGTTGCTCCAGTGCTCTGATAGTAGCGTGTAGGTCTGATTCGAATAGCTGTAGCTGTGAGGAGGAGAGGAGAGGAGCAGACCTCCCATCTGCCACCTCCTGCTGCGGCCGCACTGCCTCCTGTCTGACCTCCAGACCAGCAGACACCTGAACACACAACACACACACACGCTTAGCACGAGTTAATGAGTGTCTGTCCAGCGCCGCGGCTGAAAAACAAGCTCCGCTCAGGCCTCCAATAGTATCCAGCTGCAGACCCGCAGCACCAGCAGTTTCAGAACCGCAGCCACAGAACCGGAAGTGAGGGGCGGAGTTATTGACAACGAGAGAGCACGGTGAGTAGTCTGTAATGTTTTAGCTATCATATGTTTAATAATTATCGTATATATTACGTTAAGCATTTATCTGCTAAGTACTTAACGTGTGCTTGGCTTTATTATCTTATATTGAAACTTGAATTTGTTGTCATACTTTATAGTATATAACTTGTTTCTGTGGATGTTTCGATTAATTTTCGGATGCATGCTGTAAATGGGCCTTGTGGTGAAGTTTTGAAGACGTTTATTATTCATAAAAATAAATAGCTTGCTTTAATTCTGCTGGTGCTGCGGGTCTGCAGCTGGATATATCTCCAGGCCTCTGCTGAGCCGCTGGAGTTGTACCTGAGCAGAGCTGATGTGCTGCGCCACCTTGTGGAAGCTGCGGTTGAGGTCGGCTAGTTTGGGCTCCACCAGCTCTCTGCACACAGGCCCCCTGCTGGTCATCAAGATTACTGCCTGATCACGAGCGCTGTCCACACGCACACTCATTCCTTCCAACTCACACAACACAGCCTGTCAGAGACACACAGAACAGATTCAATACATTAATGCGTGTTAATGAAATCAGGTTTCACTAGACTTGAAAAAAAATGTTTGTTTTTATTATCTTTCATCAAAATGTAATTACTTTCTCTGCCTCTGAACCATTTTCTTAGCTGCCAACATAATCTTAGCCATGTGGCAGAGAAAAAATATATAAACCAACAATACTGTAGCCTAACATTTATTATCCAACCAAATCCTGATGGATCAAATTACATTATTTATTGTTGAATAATCACTTTCACTGAAAAGACACAAATGACATAAATAACCAAGTCTCTCTCTCTGTGTGTGTGTGTGTGTGTGTGTGTGTGTGTTTTCACCATCATCATTCTCTCTTTCTCAGCTGAAGGCATCTTCTCCATCTCATCCAGTCGTATCTCCGTCTGATAGAGCCATGTGCTGATATGAGCCAAATTCTCATCAAACATCTCCACCTCACGCCTGTGATTCTACAACACACACACACACACAGCATGTATGATACAGCATCTCTACACAACATACATGCGATATATAACAGGTAAAAAGTAGGTCTGTCAACAGATTAAATTTTTTTTAATATTATCATTACATTGTAGTTAAATATAATTAATATGCATATTTTTCCGTCTCTAAAACATGTATGTATCTAGTATTGCTGTACTGCATTCGATACCTCTTTCAAGAATTGGAAAAAAAAAGATAATAATAAAGTTAATAAAGTTTTTTTTTTATTATTCTAAAAATGCAGAAAGTATTCTATTAAGGTCCAGGTGTTGGTTAGTTTATAGTATTTATAATTAGTTGAATATAAAACAAAAGTCTATGAAATGTCCCCATTTAGATATCTATATGTAAATGTATGTGATTGTGTGTGTGTGTGTGTGTGTGTGTGTGTGTGTGTGAGTGTGAGTGTGTGTGTGTGTGTGTGTGTGTGTGCTGCTATTCTTCTAATCAGTCTTGACAAATCACACAGAACTGAATGAAGCAGTTGGGATGATGTGAACTTAATGAGTTAATTGTGTCATGTAACTTTAAGCAGTCACTCACCAGAACAGCACTGAGCCAGTCCTCTATCAGCGTGTGCATGCGCTCCCAGTCCTCATTGAGCTCAAACAGCTGATCCTCCAGCTGAGCCTCGCTGCCCTCCACTAAGGCCTGCAGGGCGGCGCTGTTCTCCATCACCACAGACAGATCGCTCTTCTTGAACTCAGACTCCTTCAACAAGCCCTACAGACACACACTCATTTCACACACACACTCTGTGTAAAGACTGCATGAGTGAGGGACTGTCAGACACACTCACGTTGGCCCATGTGATCTCTGTCTCGATATCGGCAGGCATGTCTCCTGTGCTGAGCTTCTCTTTAAGCGGAGTCTCAGTGTGGCTCATCCAGGCCTGCAGGGCGGCGCTGTCCTTCTGCAGCCGCTGAGACAGAGACAAAGCCTTCTCCAAATCCTGTTTCCCCTCAGTCACCTGACACAGACAACAGGTATTTTATGGCAAATTACACTAAAGTCAACATGAAGTAGCTTTCGCAACTCATTTTATTTTTGTAATGCGATGTATTTCAGAGTGAAAAATTTAGGACGAGGCTTGATTTTGTCCACTGGCAACTGCTTTCATTGCCGTTTTAGAAATGTGTGTGTAAAATGTGCACGTACCTGAGCTCCCAGCTCATTGTAGAGTAATTTGAGCGCGGTGAGTTGTTCGTCCATTCCTTTAGGATTTTCTGTCTGCTGTTTTTGTACGATCTGTCTTCCTGTTTTAATCACCGTCTCCACCTCCAGTTTCACCTCGCTCAAGATCTTATACAGTTTCTGGATTTATAAAAACAACACGCGTACATAAAACACAAGCAGTGTGAGGTGTGTGTTTTTCAGTGATGTTACTGTAAAACCAACTATTAAAAATCTTAAAATAAAATAAAAAACTAAACAAAAAAAATAAATAAATAATAAAAAATAAATAATAAAATGTTGCCCTGGAAACTATCTGAAACAAATAACAAAAACTGAAATAAAAATAAAGCTATATAGAAATATAAAAAAGACAAAAGATACCTAACTGAAACTATACTAAATATGAATGTGTACTATAATAGTATAGAATTAATACTTAAATGACAGTGGTGTGTTTTCTCACCATGCATCCGTTCAGGTGGGTCTGGATCTCCTCTGGTTGTGTGTCTTTCAGGTCCAGGACGTGAAGTTCAGCTTTAGCGTTTTCCAGAATCCTCTTGCAGTCCAGCATTCGCTGCTCAAAGTTGGCTGGTTTCTGGAACAGCTGGAATTTTGTACTAATCTCACGAAGTTTCCGCTAAACAGAACAGAAAGACACAAGATAAACTTTAAAGGGTTAGTTCACCCAAAAATGAAAATTCTGTCATTAATTACTCACCCTCATGTCGTTCCAAACCCCTGAGACCTCCGTTCATCTTCGGAACACAAATTAAGATATTTTTGATGAAATCTGAGGGCTCTCTGACCCTCCCATAGACAGCAAGGTAACTACCACGTTCAAGGTCCAGAAAAGTACCAAGATGATCGACAAAGTAGTCCGTGTGACATCAGTGGTTCAACTGTAAAGTTACGAAGCTACGAGAATACTTTTTTGCGCAAAGAAAACAAAAATAACGACTTTATTCCACATTTTCGTCTCTACTGCATCTACGCTCGCATCATGTTACTGTCGTGAACGCGCGTCCACAAGTGACGCAGTAGAACCACGCAGAACATGGTAGTTACCTTGCTGTCTATGGGAGGGTCAGAGAGCTCTCAGATTTCATCAAAAATATCTTAATTTGT